ATCCTGTGAGCCAGTGGGCTCACAAGTAAAAATGAGCCCAATCGTTCAGATTGAATTTGGGCCGATTTGATGACAATCACAGATGCCTGATAGTTTTTGAATTTTAGTATTTTTTCTACAAATCCAAATCACTTAAAATTTTAAGCGCTTGTTCATAAAAAATAAGTGAATATTTGAAAAATAACAAAAAACTATTTTACATGAAAAAATTTGACCAAAATACCGTGGTAATGTTTTGAGGGTATTCTGGTTATTTTTTTACGGATTTTTTTTTTATATATATTTTTATTAAGTACGGCTTGATGAGAAGAACACATGCCTAAAATAAAGTTGGCAAAATCTTATGAGAAGGCCATTAGATAGTGTAAATTCATGCATCTTTGCACCTTACCACTTTGTTCATTCGTGTAATGTGGAAATGACAAAATTAGGATTTGGAAGTAGCAAAATCAATGATCAAAATCCTCCTCCGCAAGGTAACAGGGAATGCATGATGCGCCCACCCATCGAAGGTTCCGTGACCAACTGAGATCATCCCCATCGAAGGTTCCGTGACCAACTGAGATCATCTTTCTTTCCTTCTAGTGGATTGGACGGCTGTGATGCACGTGCACAACTTTTAACTGAGAAATCCCTCTCTATTCATGCGTATAATCACCTTGTGGCCTTTTGTATGGAGTGGATTTGAAAGAGTAATCGGTGTTTTTTTTGTAGTTCAGTGGTAGGAATAGAACTTGGGATGTAGTGATTCAACTGTGACCCGTGAAGCCAAAACCCTATTTATAGAAGACGACTAGGGTTTAAACTCACAAAAATAAAATTTTGAGAATTACAAAATACAAATAATAATAATAATAACAAAAATAAAAATGCAACTCTGCCCCCAACGTTAATTCATACTGCTGAACTACCACAGGAAATATGCAAAAAACGGGGCTAAATTTCATTATTTTGGGAACATTATATATCATGTCACTGTGCATCATGTGTAAAACTACCTTGTATTAAGTTGTCCATATTTCAGAATTCAGTATTTTTTCTGATAATGAAGTCGTCGTCATCGTCATCATTATCATTGAATTTGTTAGGAGAAAATTGAAACTTAATCTTTAGAATGAATTGGCTGATGGTTCTAATTTGATTAAACTTACATTTTCTAGCCCTAATCTAAACATGGAGAGAGAGAGAGAGAGAGAGAGAGAGAGAGAGAGAGA